GACTTTAACAGGGTTTTTAAAAAACCAGGGGTCTTTGCTAACATTAATGTGTATCGAAACACATTTCGAATGTTGGGGCATCACCTATCTAGTATTCGTATGCAAAAGTTTACAAATTTGTGAAATTATTTAAGCCAGGAATTACGTTTTACCAACATCTATTTGATACTTTGTAAAAAAACAAAACTTCATAGTTTAGCAAAGGCTCCTCTCTGTGTCCGATTTAATAATAAACAGAAACTGGCAAAACTTTCCCCCGATTATTTTCCCGTTTATTTTTAATTATTTTATCATGTGAATGCCTTTTGTCTGCGAAGAGTGGTTATAATGAGTTATATTTGTCGTAAGGCAATATTAGGCTTATTGTTTTTACCCTAATACTAATGTATTACGACAAATATAATTAACTGTTTTATGTTTGGAATACATATGAATGTAGTGTTGAAGTTTTTCTTTTAATTTTTAATTGACGTTTCAATGATTATGCGTATTTTAAAATCACCGGGTAAATTCTGACTTACCATAGCATAATGACAGACGACGATGCTGCCTGATTTAAGATCTTGGAAACCACTGCAGCTTCTCATGCCGATAATCTTGGCCATGACTCTTGATTTTCAAAATATCCTTGGCACCGAAAAATACACTTAATTTCAAAATCGCAAAAATATTATGATTATCGTTAAAGAAAAATACAACAACAAAAAACGTTTAGTGGACAGTCATCGCAGAAGTTTTGTTGATAGGCATTTTTTTTCGTGAGTCGGTATACACGGATTTGCCGCCAGAGCCTTAGTAAAACTTATTACAACAACTGAACCAAAGATATAAGCGTCTAGTAATAGAAGTCAACTTGCTTGTAACGGCCCTCAACTATATTCACCGTTTCGTAGCGTTCACCGCAGATTGCGTGCATAGCCCAAGGTATCAAGAAGGAATTTTCCTCGTTGTTGAACTGCTCACAAAGAACTATCTTCACTTCCTTCCACTGTCATTGACCTCAAACCTCCTCTTTCTCCTTCTAGCCTACCCGCCAATGCTAGCGTGAAGAGCCAAATGTGTTTTACCTGCCCGGCCTTGAAGGCAAGGCAGGTTCCCGTTATTTTGCAACCTAAATGCCACAAATAGAAACTTGAATACCCTAAGTAAGGTGACACCTTTCTCAAGCATGGAAATAAACGGTTGGATCCAAGTGCACGTGCATCTACAATTTATTCAACACGAGCATTTTGTTGACAACTTCTGTGGTTTTTAGCTACAAATACTCAGTTTTTTAATTCGTAAATTTTTAAAGAGGAACATCTAAGTGATATAAATTAGAAACTTATTTTTGACTTCTCATTTTTTTAGTATTTATTTGTACAAAAAAAAATATATTACCATTTCTGAAATTAGTAAAGGTTCTTTAATTTTCACTCACCTAAAAATATATTTTTAGCGTGTCTTTTGCATTCCACGAACTGAAACAGTATTCAAACTATGAATATTATTATTCCAAGACGTACTGGAATACGTACTGAGAAATGCTATAAAAAGTAATATTTTAATTAATCTCCCCTACTTGGCACACAAGGCTTCACTTTCGCCAATCACAGAAATCTTTACTCATCATCGAATTTTTACTTCTACCATCATCCTTCAACGTATAAAAAACATTTATAATTTTCTACCATTTACCGCGATTTTTTGAATTTTCACGTTTATTTTATTTTGACCATAAACAAAAGTATTAAATATACTTGACCTGAATAAATGCTACCCGCTGGCTTAGCGGTAACTTAGAAGGTTAACGCTAACAACAGGGTTTGCATCCAAGGTGGACAGAGCTTTGTGTTTAATAACAAACAAATAAAGACTTGACTAAAACTGGAAATCAAACAAAAACTTTAAAATTCTAAATATATTAATTTGTGTTTATATATATATTTATTTATAACAAAGCCATAACCGGCTATCTGCTTTGTCCACCGAGGTGAATCGAATCTTTGATTTTAGAGTTGTAAATCGGTAGACTTACTGCTGTCCCCACCCAAAACGAACATTAAAGTTTAAATTTCAGTAAAGCTTTCAACTTTGAAGTTATAAAATTTCCGTTCCCAAAAACGAACACGAGAAACATAATTCTTTCTTTATTCATTCAACATATGTCTATGAACTTTTTATTCACTTCACAATTTCACACTACTTTGCCT